ATTCATTCAGAAATTTATCCCTATCTTCCTTCATTTCTTTGATTTCTTTGTGTGTTCTTTAAATTCACTGAACTCTTTTATCATGTTTATAATTGTTCTTTTGAGTTCCATGTCCTGCATTATCTCTAGGGGGTTCTCAATGTACTCCTCTAGAGGACTATTGATATTTGGTGGGGATATGTTATTTTGGTTTTTCATGTTATTATGTTTTTTCTGTGATTTTTGACCTGTGAGTTTCTTTTGTAGTTTCTGATTCTTGTGTGTGATGAAGGCCTTCAAGTCTAGGTCTGCCTTTTTTTGTGTGTGTACTTATGTGCCTTTGTGGTTTACTTTTCGGGCATGAAAAGCTGGTTCAAGCTTTTGGTTCTCTCTTTTGATTTTATATTGGAGTGGCTGGATTGCTTTTTTCTTTTGGAGTTTCCACAGAGGCCCAAATCAGATGAGGATCAGATGCTCTCAGGCTTTCTCCTAAGGTCTGGATCCCTCCAGGAAAGATGCTGTCCTCAGGAATTTTGGGGTTTGACTGGCCTGGGAGCAGGGCCCAGCAAAGATGCTGGTCTGGGGCAGCTCTTGGCCATGCCACCCTGAGTTGCAAAGGGAGATGGGGGCAGGAAGAGGCCCCAAGGTCTCCTGGGGATGGCAGGGGGGAACTGGGTTGGTGTGTATGCCAAGGATCAGGAAGCAGAGACATTGGCCCTGGTGTCCAGGAAAGAGGCTGGCGGGTAGTGTAGCCCAGTGAAGCAGAGGGAGCTGAGGGCTGGAGCAGGCCCAGCTGGCTCCTGGGGACCAGGAGAAGGAGCTGGGTTGGTCTGGATGCAAAGGATCACAAAGCAGTGGTGGTTTCCTCAGTGTCTGGGGTGCCAAGACAAGGAATAGGACAGTACCCAGGCTAGGAGGAGAGACAGGCGGGGTGGTGGGCTGGGAGATGGGAGGGTGAATGAGGCTGGGGGAGTCAAGGTGTGGAGGGTGCAATGCACTCACCCAGGAGAGATGCTGGAGGGTTGAGCAGGCTCAGGGAAGCAGAGAGAGGTGAGGGCGGGACCAGGCCAAGAGGGAGGAGGCCATAATTTTATCAGAACACTAGAACACTGCTTTATTTTAGTGTTTTCTGTGGCTGCTTTCTTGTCACACTGCACAGCTAAGGCATTTTGTCAGAGACTGTATAGCTTGCAGAGCCTAAAATATTTATTATCTGATTTTTGCAGGGGAAGTTCATCAAATCCGGTTCCATGCCAGATGTAGGAAAACAAATCTAATGAGGTGGCACGTGGCTTAGTCCATTTGGTAGCAGATGAGGAAAAGATGGAGCCTTTAAGTAGAATCAAGTTCCTGGATTAGAAGTGGATCTGACCACTTCAATTCCTACTTATGGTCTGAGATAATGTAAGTGAAAATACTTTGCAAGGGTGAAGCACTCTGTAAGAGAAAGGCCAACGCCTGCAGAGCTGTTATCAAAAGGTTGTCATGGTGGGTGGATCTGGTACGGGGGCAGTAAGGGGACTGTAAATGGAGGGCTGGAATTCGTAATTTTCTCTAGGCCCAAATGCACTAGATAGAAAGAGCATAACACAGTGGGAGTGTTTTTCCCTTTCATTTTCTGATATTTTCAGGCTGCAATCTCCACTTCTCATCGGGATTCATCTGCTGTAATTAACCAGATCTGGGGTACACATTCTCAACATACCAGAAGAACTGTATTATTTCTTTTAGAAAATTATCTTAAGCTACCAACCGTGAAATGCTTAGAAAACAGCTCTTTGTATAACTTTATAGAGTGCTTCTGAGAGCTCTTCCTGTTTACTTTGCTGCAGCCCGTTTGTAGGTAAAAATATTCTGGAGGTGCAGTTGTTGAGGCAAGCTGCCACTTTGAAATGTTCCTTCTTCCTCATTTAAGCCCTAGTTTACTTTAACTTTTATTGAAATTTCTTCCTTGACATAGATTTTCATTATTGTATAGAATGCATACCTTGCAGAAATTGTACTTCCTTTTAAAAATGTTTTATTCTATCTTATTTTATGCGTATGTGTATATTGCCTGCATGTATATAAGTGCACCTGTGTGGTGCAGTGCTCACAGAGGTCAGAAGAAGGCATTGGATCCCCTGGAACTGGAGTTACGGATGGTAGTGGGTGCTGGGTACTGAACCCGGGTCCTCTGCAAGAGCTGTCAATGCTCTTAACCACTGGGCTATTTCTCCAGTCCCCAAAATGGTAGTTTCTAAAAGAGTCGTATTTAAAAAACTTGGAACTAATGGAACATTATGCCAACCCTACACACTACAGTGTGGATTCTGAGTGAGGCACTATGACTTTTGACTTCTGTGTTCTGATAGTTTGGGTGTGGGCTGAGACTGTTCAAGCTTTGTGAAGTTGCTTTTGTTTTTTATTCTAGTTGTCTTTTCCCTAGTGCCCTAATGGAACACAGTGCTGTTGAGTAAGAGTGTTAGCTTGGAGGTCAAGTTCAAGCTCAGGAGGAACATGGGGTCAACAAGAATGGTTGATAAGAAGTCATCCAAGTGACGAAAGGAAGGAAAGAATTGTAGCACAGAAGAGATGGCTTGTAGATTTACAGCAATGAAAAGTGAGTGCAAATTCTTTTTGAGACAGGGTCTCCTTGTAGGCCCAGCTGGCCCGAAACTCATTACATAGACCTACTGGTCTTGAACTCACAGAGATCTGCCTGCTTCTGCCTCCCAGATTAAAGACATGTGCCACCACGCCCGGCCATGAGCACAAATTCTTAAGAACTAAAGTGAGCTAGGCCAATTGACAAGAGCTTGGAGACTTTCTGTGGGGAACCCCAAAGGCTGTAATCTGGTTACTACTGAACTTTTACTGGTACCATGAATTGAGGTGAGCGCTTGTCATTTATATGCATCTTACAGATGGAACATAAGGCATTAAGAGATTAAATAACCTTCCAAAGTTCACAAAAGTCCCAGGGATGGAGTCAGTATCCAAACCTAGCACCTAGCTCCAGAGAATCAGTGAGGTCAACTAAGCTTCACATGCACATGGAAGAAAAGACACATATTAGGATGCCCGGGAGACATTTGAGGGATGAGTTGGTGGAGGCTGGCCCGAGTCTCACATTCAAGCTCTCAATACTACTTTCAAATGAGATTATATAAATTCATTGTATTTTTTGGTAATTTTATGCCAAAAGTTGATATTTGCACATACACACACACACACACACACACACACACACACACACATGCACACCCACTGTATATAAACTATATCTAAACATTTTTATGTGTATAAGTGTTTTGCCAGCATGTTTGTAAGTGCATCCATTTCATGCAGTGCCTGCAGAGCCCAGAAGAGGGCACTGGATCCCTGGAACTGGAGTTACAGATGGTTGCTAGCTACCACATGGATGCTGGGAACTGAACCTGGGTCCTCTGCAAGCGCAGTAGGCACTCTTAACCACTGAGCCATCTCTCTAGGTTTTATTTATTTATTTATTTTTGAGACAGTCTCTCATGTAGCCCAGACTGACCTTGAAAATTTGTTTCCTGATCCTCCTGCCTCCACTTCCCAAATGCTGTAATCGCAGAGGTTTGCCCCTAAGCCTGATGACTTTGATCATGGGCTTGGGTTAGACAGTTTTGGCTTTGAGTCTAGCTGTGATGCCTACCAGTTGAGGGATCTTTCATGATTTTCATAGCAAAAGGGAACTTAGATATCCACTGCCGATAGATCTGAGAATTGAATTAAGGTATATGAAGTGCCGCACACACTATCAGCATGCAAGTTAGAGTTAAAGCTTTCCTTTTCTCCTCCTGTGAGATTAGAGGAAGGTCAAGGCTGTTAAAAGTATTGTGCACCTTTATTCTAACTCAGGCCTCTCTACCAGCTCAAGATTTGATGAAAAGAAAATGTTGTTAGGAGCTGGAAAGATGGCTCAGCAGATGAAAGCACTTGTCACTAAGCTAGCTGACCTGAGTTTGATTCCTGGCACCCATACAATGGAAAGAGAGAACCGACTCCCACAGTTGTGTTCTGACTTACATACATGCATTGTGGCATGCAGGTTCCCCTATATCCACATACATTGATATACAGAACAAGTAAGCAAATAAATGTAGGTTTTGTTTTGTTTTTTTTGTTTTTTTTTTTTTTAGAAAAAGGAAAAGTTGTGTTGAGGCTGCTGTGCTTTGAAAGGTAAAAAACAATCCTTTAACTTTTGATAGACTGGGTAATGAAAAGTACCTCTCTTTGGAAAGGTGTCATAGAAGTTATTGCTTTAAGGAGAAAAAGTATGTGTTTTTGTGTGCACACATGTGTACATAATCTTGTGATTATATATACCCACAATACATACAAATTCAGCTCATTTGCAAGTAGGTAACAATTAGCAGCTACTTAGAGCTATTTATAAACTTTCCCACTCTGGCATGATACAGCTCTGTCATCCAGCCAAGGGGCCTTTTGCTTGTTTCCTCTTCTCCTACTCTACAAGTGGAGGAAGGTGCTCACTTGGGTCCAGAGAAGGGGTCACTGAGCGACCTTAGAGATAAGAGACCACTCAGAGGGCATGGGGCAGAGAAGCCACATCTGAGTTGGTACAGAGTGAATGAAGGGTCACTTATTTGCTATAAAGAGGTGGGTGGAGGGTGGCTCAGCTTCTCCCCCTAGAAAGTGGGCCCTTTGCTGGGTTGTATTTTCCCACATTACTGTTTGCTTTTATTGAGGAAAACAGAGACAGGAGTTGCTTGAACAGTCAGTGTCTTTAGTGGAACCTGAATGCGAGTTTTATATTTATTTACTTGATTAGCATATACGATTATGTGTGAATGTATATGTACATATTGGTGTGTGTGTGTGTGTGTGTTATATGTGCACCTGTGTGCAGGTATGTGTGCCTGCCCATGTGCTTATGCAGAGGTCAGAAGAAGAAAGTACTGGGTGTCCTTTGTCACTCTGTCTTGATTCTTTGAGGTAAGGTCTCTCCCTGATCCTGGAGCTCATATTTTTCATGCTAGGCTGGCATCCAGCAAACCTCGGCAATCCTACTGTCTCTGCCCTCCTCAGTGCTGGGGTTATAGTATGCATAGGACCACATTCAGCTGTTCACATGAGTGCTGGGATCTGAACTCAGGTCCTCATGCTTGCACAGCTAGCTGGCCCATCTCTGATTTATCTGATCCATGGATCTATCTCTCTATCCTTTAGCTTGATTATTTTCTTAATAAAGTAACAACAGCAGATCTCTGAATAGCCTAAAACCCTGGCATTATTATTGATCAGCTAATAAGTTATTATTATTTTTTCTTAACTGGAAATTTTACTTAATATTCTGTCTCAGAATTATTGGATGCTTGAAAAAAACTTCATTCCATCCATTTTTCTCCTCAAGGGCTCTCTGTTCATTATGATCCTTAGACGTCTTAGGAATTCTAATCTATAAACTACTCAAATCTTCTCAGAGGCAGACAGGAATAAATCTTAAGTAAATATAAATATAGTATCATATGCCCAAGTGAGCAGAGTCTCAAAACCATAAATATAATTGAATTCTAGTTAGCCACTTGAGCCCATGCTTTGGTTTAAACCGTAGATATATTTGTTTTTAGAGATGGAAGGATTCTCTGCTGTACATTTTTTCTTTCTTCAGAGTCCAATCTAGGGCACTAAGTAGAAAAGTTTTAAAAAATGATAAAGACAATTTATTCTCAAGTCTCTCGTAAGCAGCTTGTTTGGGTATCTATTGAAATGGGAAGCATGTGCAGGCTTCTTCTCACATGTGTGTGCACACAGAGAGACAATGGATCAGAGTGTGGAAAGAGCACAGCTCCTCTCCATGCTCGAGAAGCAGACTTATGTTTGGATCTCTGTTCCACGGCTTCTGGGCTATGGGAGCTCAGTTCCTTCAACTGAAAGATGGGACTACTAATAGTTCTTACCAAGTAAGAGTGCTGTGAAGAATTAAAGTTCAATGACTGGCATGCTTTGTTATGATTTCCTTTATCATCATGATTGGTGATATGCCCCATGGTAAATGCTCCCTGTCTGCACTAATGGAATAGTTGCATGTTATATGTGACCATTTACATGTAAGTTAATTAAGATAAAATGAACCTAAAAATTCAGTTTCTTGGTTCATTAGCCACATCTCAAAGGCTCAGTCCCACACATGGCCAGCCAGTGGCTGCTGTGTTGGGCAATGATAATACAGAACCTCTCCATCCTTCCAGAAAGTTCCATGAGACAGCCCTCCTCTGAAGTCTACTCAATAGCATTACAAATACATATGCCCAGTCATCTTTCAAATATTGTCTAATTAGTGTAATTAGCACACATCAGATATGACCTGCTAGCATTTAAAAGTATATGTTGTGAAATAAATTAAGATAAATGAATAATATAAAAATGTG